CCGTCGCGTTTGTTTACATTTGCATTGTTTATTCAGCAGTCGATTGAAATGCACTCGTGTGTGATAGTGACAGTTGCGTGCTGCAATATCCCTCGTACGTATAACACAATTTACTATGATTAACTGGAGAAAAAATGAAATTTATGAAATTTCATTTGGCCATTGTGTCAACCATAAACGAATACCTTTCATATTGTAATTGAAATTCACTTGACGAACGGACGAAAAAAACGGACGATCTTCAATCTGTATATGTATATACATGCAAATTTAAGTGGATTCATATTTACTAATAAATCATATTACATATAAAGTATTGACAACCGAATGTATTCTCAATTTAATGAACGTGCAAATAATTCATGCACATTGGCTGTATATGAACCGTTTATGATACACTCCAATATGAAGTTGAAACTTTTGAATATGGCGTACCTTGTCGCCAATTTAGACAAACTTTTTATTTATTCATGGCAACGAATCATTTTTGCTTTGTCGGATTGTGACTTGGAAGTTTCGAAAAAGAAAACGACTTGATTTATTCATATCAAATGTTGAGGTTGAACTTAGTTGCAGAGGTTTTGCTGGGATTTATTTCAAATACGCTTTTAAAGTGAATTTTATACATTCAACAAAAAGAAGTTACAAAATATGGAATTGGGTCTTTGAGAACATCTTTTAGACGTTACGGAACATACATGGGCACGGTCGAAAATTAAGGTCTACTTGAAAATTAAGGGGGTGTTCATTCGCCAATCAAAAAATCATAGCAATTCGGAGGAATTTTTCTCTCGAAAAAAACCTAGGAAAAGGGAAGTTTTATTCCCTTCCGATCGAAATTGTTGACAAGGGGAGAATTTGAGCCAAAACTCTAGAAATCGCAAGAACCTTCCACCTAGGTTCCTCCTAGCTACCACCTAGGATGATATAAGACTCCTAAATCAGGAGTAAAAGTTGAGACCCCTAACTAGGGGGTGAATTTGATGGGGCTGGGGATATCCATGTAGGATAAACAAAATTCGTCATAAAAAACCGAGCATCCTGTGCCCTTGTGTAGTTACAGAACAACGTGAAAATTTCACCCAAAAAATTTGGATAATTTTTCATCTCCATGCGACTTTGAAATACAATAAGTAATCAAGTCCGATCAAATAAAAAAACGCCGAAGTAAAATTTCAATATTTTGCGAAATACAAAAACCGACAAAACTATATGGGAAAATTCTGCCCAACACCGATGAAAAATTAATAAAAAATTTCAATCAACTGATTTCCCATTTTCCAACTTTGATTGAATTATGCAAGTATCGTGTTTCCTTCTGAAAAGTGCTTTTAATAAAACTAGCGCTCGATTTAATTTCATAGGTGTTGTATTCATAAAGGGATTTGAAATCATGAAATTAATATATGCTCTTCGGTGTCAAACGATAGACGTATGTTATAACAACAATAGCCGCAAGCATGTCGAAAAGGGACTCGTTAACTGAGTATACATTTCTGTATTGAATTTAGAAGATTTAACGCTTAGTTTGCTCGAATATTAATTTCGAAGATTGATTTTTTCCTCTCATTTCTGAGAACTGGTGCATGTTAATGAAGGGCTGGCTATTGTTATGTTTACCATTTCCAATCATACGTGCAATTTGTGTACTCATATTCATTGCTGATTAATAAATCAGAGTTGCATCTGCATTCTGTTTTTGGCGAAATTAATGTACAAATACACCAAACAATAATAGATAATAATCAATAACAATTATCAGTTAGACTCACCCCAGTGAGTGGACATCGCAATCAAACAATCGAACAACCGCTTCGCCGAACACGACCTCAGTGTTTGGAATTATGGCAGGCAGAAGTTAAACACATGGTTATTTGTTCGAAATCAAAGTTTGGTTTGACGGTCTTTGTAATTATTTGTATTTTCCCCTATTCACAAGACTTGTGTTTAGTCTACCAAATGCAGACACAATGTCTAGGACAAATAAAATCGACGCTTCACTCAATTCCATAGAATTCAACAATCCAAAATCTAATTATTTCGATGAAAAAAAGAATGCTAGAAGCTCAAGTGTAAGTGAGATAAAATAATGCAAACCGTTCCTCACTTTGGGCTATCGCGCCTGAATGTATGCTAACACACACACAAAAAACGACATCGACCGACAAGGCGCTCAACTCCGAATGGGCATTTGTGTTTCAACTTCCACTAATTACCAGATAAAAGAAATAGCATTTTACCCGTTGGCTATCATTTATGTAGGATTGGCGCTGTCAATTTGACACCTCAGGAAAAAAAACGCCACCAGATCTTAAAATAAAATCCATTTGCTGAAATCTACATTTCCAGCAGTTATAGCTCATTTTGCTTATCACGCGAAATAAATATATATATGGGATTAAAGCAGAGAGAAAAAAAACAACAGCGAAAAAAAATGTGCTTGAAATGTATACAGGATTAGCGCTTTTGAGTGTATAGAAGGAGAAAAAAGCGTTCGCTCAACGAATTAGGAAAATGAAAAGAGCATTATAATAAGCATGGAATGCAAAAAAATATGAAAGTACATACATTTTTGTTGATTGTTGCCTGTTATATTATTGTCGTTTTGAACATTTGTCGCCATAATGTGCGCTGATATACTTAAGTCGAACAATGCGTGTTTTTTTTGTTCTATTCACCCCCTAAAGGTATTTCGTTTGACTTAACACGCACCTAATACATCTCTGTCATTTTGTTTGTGCAAAAAGAAATCCATGGCTATATATCAAGTGGCGTTTGGCCTCACTCGTTTTGTGTAAATTCCCATATCGATAAGAGCGCAACTTTTTTCGGTTGAAATTAAACAAATGTTTGGGAAATCCGAGTATTTTTTATACGGTATAGTGTCCAAATACACTCGATTTCTCGGCAAAACGTAAATGAGTCGAATAAACGGCATATGAAGGGGCAGTTTAAATGCAAATTTTAAAGCGTTGCGACACACGGTGGTGGAACGAAAAGATTGTGTGATCCAATGCTCGTACGGAAATGGCCAAGGGAATTCTCTCAATGGAACCAGTTTTGAAATCAGTTGATGACACATACACACCACTATGTGGACGCATTCTCAAAACATCGAGTTCAAATGGAAAAACTTTCCAAATCACTTTAACCCTTTTTCGGCCATGCAACGTTACGCACCACCGAGAATTAGAGACAAAAGAAAATAAATTATGTCTCTATTTAAATTTGGGCCACCATTTCGTTGTTGGTTCCATTCATCAATCGAGCTTGATTTGTTTTCCTAAAATCGTTTCTCTCGGGCAGCAATTTCGAAAGGTTTATCGAAACGGTGGTTTGATCTTATCATGTGAAATATGCTAATCGGTACGTGCTTTGTGCATTATAATATATCGCCATTTCCGACTTGATATTTTCTACTGACTTGAATGCCAGATGCACGTAACAATAAGCAAATACACCGATTACCGTCGATAATTTACAATGAATGTGAATTTATTCCATTTTTTTGGAAAGGAACTCATGTAAATCAAACCAAAGTCCAAAAAAGCCATTTCATTGTAAGTATCACATTCTCGTACTAAAAACATTAAAACACTACCGTGATCTGCATATCAATGTAACCTGTCAATAGGTCAAATGGGATTATTGCGGAGAAATTTTCAGGCGGGAATTTTTTTTTGAATCAGTTTTTCGCGCTTGTGTTCATCAAACTCCATTTATTTGATTTGCTACCATAGCACAGCGAAATTAAACAGAATTTGTGTGTGTGATGATTGGAGCGGAAGCAAATTGCATTGCATTAAACATTGTATCCGAATCGGATTGAATCGAAAATTATTCTGAAACTTTCAACCAGTAAAACCATTAGTTGATTGTCACTTCTCTTCTATTTTGCGTTTGCATATGTCGTAAAAGTAATTAACATCCACTGATGACACACGAACAAAATCGACTATTGAACCCTCGAAATGTTAGTGTGACAAATAGTGTGTCCGATGCATTTTCATTGTTATTTGCTCATGATTTTTCCACAACATGAAGCGCATGTCTATAGCCTCTGGCCATTAGTCAATACACCAAATAAATTTGTCTATCGATTTATCATTATTCATTTGATGACACTTTGCTATAATGATTATCATTAATTTAATTTAGTAATCGTTCAATACCAAAGGATTTCCACACATATATTATTTTATGAGGTGAGCTTTAAAGTGAATCAATAGTGATATATTCACAGTCCGCCCATTGCATGTCACAGGGCCGTGGTATGTGTTTCTCTTTTTTTGCGGAGGGACCGTTTCAGGGAACATATTTCTTTTTTTATGCCAAAATTAATTTGGAAAAGAAATTTGAGATTTGCTGTAAATGCCGATGCATTCTCTGAGAAGCAAGCATCGTATTATGTTTTGATGAAAAAATAGGTTTGGAGAAATGAAAAATAATCAGATGCGACGGAATTTTATTATTGATTAACTCCAATAACAACATCATCTCATGGCACAAGCAAGCATCGTATTATGTTTTGATGAAAAAATAGTCTACTATCGCTGATATAGAACGAAAGTGGTTTTCCGTACTTAACTATAATACCAACATTATCTGATTTTGTGACGTTCCAAAAAACACTGTCGCATCTGATCGATTTCGTGGGTTTTTCCAATCTTTATTTATATTGTATCTTTTTGGCGGCTCTTTAATAAATCTCTTTATTTATTCCAAACTAAATGAATGTATTTCTTTCTAATAGTAATGCATCGTATGATGATTTTCTCAGAAAAGTAACGTTGCCTGCTGCATTGATAATGTTAACAGCAAAAAACCCATCGTAACTGATAAACAAAGCTATTTTTTGATGTGTCTGCTCGTTTGAATCTCACTTTTGCAAAGTAATCAAAAACTGATAACAGTTTTCAGTGTTAGATTGCTCTGATCGCATTTCAATACGGTATAAAACAGATGCAACTCGGATTGAATGTCCAGTTGTATTTTGTCATACATTCAGTAAAAATGGCAAGTAAATTAATTTTTGTTTCAACAATTTTAATGGCTATGGTAGCCTTAACATTCGGGATAAAGTGTCCGAGTTATCAATTTGTAGGAAAACACGTTGCAGTATGTTCTCAGTGCACAATGGCTCAAAAGATCGCAAGAGCTGTTGCGTTATCAGGACAACGCGAGTAAGATTGTTTTGTTTTGGATTTTATTTTCTGAAAGTAACTAATTCTTTTTGTAATGGAATTTTTAGTGCCACCGTAAATAGAAATCACGTTTTTATTTCCGGAAGAAGGGTGACTAGGGAGGATATTGCCAATGACAACACAAATCGTTACTTCAGACCCGGTGGACGTCAGCAATGCTGTGCTGAAATTAACGAATTTCAACTATTCGATTGCAATAGAGACCGAACAGTTGATCCACCAACCTGGAATTGTGTACAACAAGATGTAGCTCTCTCCCAATGTCATACGTTAACTCAAGGAGGTCATTTTAGATTTGCTCCACGATAAATATTCCACAGTTTATTCAATTATGTAAAATTCTTTTGATCAATATCACTTGACATCGATCAAAAGAAAATTCAAAATTGCTTAAAGAGAATTTTGTTTCATAAATGTATGGGAGGGACTATCAATGTCAATCAATACGAAATAATAAATTGTAAAAAGAATTTAAATATTGTTTCTATTCTAAAATTATGCCATTTTGCTAGGGGTTTTTGGTGTTGAGCTCTCGAACTATCATGTGATATCATGTGGAATGTAGATGAGCTCAATTTAATAGTTGCAATAAAACTATTTTACGGATTTGTATCTTTGGAAAAAGAGCAATATCATTTCCATAAGTTTCAATTGTATTTTTATGAGACATAAAATTTGTCATGACGAACGACATAATTCGATGAGCATTGTGATATTGCTTATTTGATAAATTACCAGTCGAAGGAAAAGATCAAAGGGCAAAAATGAAGCATGCACACACACACACACACACAGAGAGAGAGAGAGAGAGAGAGAGAGAGAGAGAGAGAGAGAGAAAATGCCATCAATAAAATCACGATTATTCTATTTTGAATTCTTTGTTAACCCTACGAACAGATTGGAACACGAGCACGAAACCAACAAAAAAAAACTACTACAATAAAATCAAAAAATAAACAACAGAGAAACATGCACTCGGAAATACTACACAACAAACCGCAGGAATTCGGTTGAGAGTTGAAGAAAAAAAACCTTTACGCAACCAAACGAACGAATTGGAAAATGTTTTATTCATTAAATACAATTTACATACAATTTTCGTGTTGTTTCATGTTGTACCGTGATTCATGCCACACACATACAAACACACTCGTTCGCGCATTACAAACTGCGTGTGATGTGGGCATCAGTCGACGCATTCGAATGTTGAATGTGTTTTAATGTTTGAAACATTTGCATTTTCATTCAAAATTCAATGAGAGAAAACCCTTTCTTCAACGGTGTTTGTGTGTATTTTGGCCACATCAAAATACCATAAAGAAATTGAAGTGAATTGTGTGGCTTTCGAGATCGATCGTAATCCTCATCATTTGACACTGAACCTTTTCCATTCGATTTACTTCCTTCACCGTCATAAACCACACGATTAACTTCTTTTATTGAGTGTACTAGAGAGAAAATTGCGCCGTTCGCAACGAACAATTGCCACCCAGGTATAGCACAAAGGTATTTGAATATAGAAAATGAGGCAATTTATTTTCTACCCAAAAAAAATCTCTCAAAATTTAAAAAGGTTGTGTAAATGACACAAGGGCCCAGTTTTTTCGACTACACAAAACCGAATATTTTATGAGCCAACTGGAGAAAATGTACATAATAAATTAATTAAGTGGTTTCTTCCATTAAAATATAGCGACACAAAATCAGACTTTATATATTTTGCTAGACGAAGGTGTGAATCTGAGAACACTCGTGAATAATTTATTCAAATTTATCTAGTCGTGCGTCGCTTGCACACACACACACACACACACAAGATCACAAATATCCCCCAACATAGCGAAATGAATTTACGCCACAACGTTTCATAATAGTCAAAACAGAACTTTTATGTCGTTTTGAACCATATAAATTGAAGCTAGTTTGTGGCGGGGTAATATTCATTTTGGAAAACATTTTTTTTCGTCGCTTTGGCTCTCGTTTCAAAATGAAATTAAAAGAAAAATCTAAAACGCTCAATTTATACATTGCATACTCCCGTATGAAGGAGGCTGTGCAGAAACATAATGGGCACTTGGAAAGTAGTTTCGACTCATATATCTTCATTTGCTTCAATTTCGAAAACATAATGGCAACATTGGCGGTTCGCAAACACATTTTGTCATTAATGCACTGTACACATCAGCACATCCCCGCACAATACTAAAGCTACATTTTCTATGCTCACCTGTGTCATTTCAACGCCGATTCTTTGGATAACGGTTATTACCACTTTTAAGTCAAACCACAAACAAAAACAGCAAAACACAATAACCAACTTGCGAAAATCGATATCATTCCGTTGTTATAATATTGACGCTGGAAAATTTCGGCAAGCATTTTGAATTTGTGTGCGGTGAAATGCGTTGATGTCATTGCTAATGTGTTATATATTAATCAAAAGTTTTATGCAAAACATGATCATGATGTGGCGTATAATGAAACGTGTGTATCGTTTTGCATATGAACGAAATGAAATATTTCTAATTGCAGCACTTTCTCTCTCTCCCTCTCTCTCGGATGATTGAATGAAGCGATGAAATGTATGCGTCGATGAATTTGAAACAGCTGCATATTTCACATTGAGTAATCCATCAAATAGAAAATAACATCAAATTTTCAACCGGAATGAACAATTTTAATACAATGTTTAATGCCTGCCATATTTGAAAATAATAAAATTGCCAGAATATCAGCTTTATGCGATGGTGTTGATTCTTTCTCATAGGTACGCACAGACTTTTTCTGCAAGGGGAGCATTTGGGGGAGATGGGCTGACCACGCTGGCAAATCGAAACAATTCTCATATCGAAAACCCGAAAAAGAGATGAGAGGGAGTCAAAAACAAGAAACCTCCCCCCTCTCAGTCCACATATGATTATTTTTTCCACTGAAAACTCAGAACAAAATCAAATAAATGGTGGTCTGATTTTCAATTTGCACATTTTTTTAAAACGCAAACCTCTAATGTGCATTGAATTTCGCATCCAATTCATTCACATCCGTTTTCAATTTTCAATTGATTTCTCTAATATTTCATTTTCCGGCTTCCATATATTTCCATCAAACTGATTTTTGATAGGAATTGTGGGTTTTTGCTGTGCAAATATTTTGATCTCTCAACTGTAAAATAGACTTTTTTCAGTAATCGAAAACTACAACGAACAAATACAAAATAGCATTTATGATCCGCTTGAAAGCTCATATTTAGTTAAAAAATCGTGCATTTCTCTTTGAAATGTTTAAATTGATTATTTTATTTTCGCAAAAACTATCCGCAAATAATGTAAGCATTTTTTATTTGCTCCGTTTTTCATTTCATACTTTGTAGCATAGCTAAAACAGCACCTGCTTTTCGTATGATCTAAAAAAGATATGTAAACAGTTAGCATGAATATTGAAGCGAAAAAAGGTGTCTTACTTCAGTGAATGTTTCCAACGAGCAGTTGATGCTTTTAAACGAAGCAAAGTAGTATGGTTTTTGTGAGTGTCCAATCATAAACCAGACCATATACTTTGAATTTGAATCGAATTGATACCAATTGAGTTGATAAACACTGTTGGACACATCATAAGCATCTATGATGATTTCGCCGCCAAGACAGAACATGAACAATACCAAAATATCACATGAGCATGCGGCAAAAAGTTGAAAAAGCATCTGATTTCCATTCAATGCGCTCTGAAATTAAAATGTATTGTAACAAAGTTGCAATATTTACATACATGCGGAAAAAAGGGAATACAAAAACGAGTACCTGCTGTAGTTGAAACAACCCCGTACACAATGTTGCCGCACCAAATGAAAAAATGTAGTACTTTATTCGAATCAGAAAAAAGTCCAGCTCTCGTAACAAGCTAAAATGCAAATATGTACGAAACATCCATTAGCCTGCCGAGCAAAACAAGAGGATGGGTACAAACACTTACTCAAGAACACTTAAATGAGCCTTCACTATGCCAATGAGCTGCTGTTGAATTTCACAGTTGCCATTTGGTTGTAGGCGAATGTCAGATTTTCTGCGTTTTGAGAAATTAAGTTTAATTTTTTTTTCACTTGTGTTACATGTGCATGGCTTAATTGAAAAAGTGCAAAGTCTATTCATCACTCACGGATGATTTTGATTGATGGTTTTCAATTTAAAGCGAATTTCATCGAGGGCAGCTTTAATATACAACGAAACCGAAATGAAAAAAACGTACAGTCCGCTCGTTAGCGAAACAAAGTAAGCAGCCAAATAGCAAAGACCATAGCCAACCAAGTATCCCGGCCATTGCTCAACATCAATCGGCAATCTCAAGTGAGAAATTATGTTTTTTAACAAAATTAAAAGCGAAGAAGAAAAATACAATGAAAAATGTTTACTGTAATGCTGCTGGTAATATTCTCATATCGTCTGTGTAATTTCCAGTAACCCAAAGGATAATTAATATACACAACGGCAAACTAACAACGCCAAACACCGAACAAAATACAAATATCCGAAAAGAGTAAACAATTTTGTATGCCAACACTTCGTTTTGCATGTAAAATGGCTTGAATTTTTCCACCGAATTATCAACAATTTGTTGGATGCGATAAATTATCGATAATGCCGAAGTGCGCTTTATCCAAAACTCCGAATATGTTGTGAGTCCCATGCCAGTGATGCAAATTAAGTAAAATGCACTCGTCGCTTCGGCTACATCGGTAATATTCAACACAAAGTATGTAAGCAACGGAATTAAAAAGATTACCGGCGTTATTAGACACACGTATTGACTAAGAATCATTTGCATGTAGTATGGTTGGCCTTTTGAACTGATTATACCCAACATTTCTAACGTTTTTCTATCCAAATGTAATGCTATCATTGTTGAAGAGATTCGTTTACAATCAATACTACACGGCGGCTGTCAAAATTATACTAAATGTATTTTACGCAGTTGACTTGTATTTATATTGGACAGTCTTTTGTTGTTGACATAGGCCGAGTGGGAGTTACAATTGAACGAAGAAAATGAACATTTAATTACAGTTTTCGAAGCAGCAACCGTTTTATTAAACAAATTTTGATGTAATTTTATGTTTTGTGTAAACTACCATTTTCAAACCTATTTTTAAGAGTAAAAAGTAGAATGGAAGACACATAATATCTATCTGAGGTGTCTTAGGTTCAAATTATTCTGCTGTCTTCATTTTATCTACTCGATGAAGCAATATAAACAAACAATACTAATTTATTTAACAATTTATTGCTAGATATACCTGCTTTTAGATTAGCTTGAATTTAAAAACAGTTTTTTCGAACTATTTGGAATCAACTCAATTATACTCATTTAACAAATAAGTTCGGCTTAAACCCAAAATTATATGGTAAAGGCTTATATTCGAAAGGCTTATTATGTAGGCGAGGCTTTTCTTAAAACAACCAATTTTCCGCAGAGAATTTCCTAGATTTTATTTACATTCGTGAGTAATTTTATGAAAATCGATCTAATTTTCTATTTGAATTCTTGCGGAGAACGAAGAGTATATTGATGCATAGAGAGAGTAGAAAGCACAATAATTGAATCTTACGAGCTTTCTTGATCGATAAAGCAATCGAAAGCTGATTAAATGTTACAAAGAGCTCATGATCTCCGTCAATTATTTTATGATAATATGAGCGCAATAAAGTGGTGCCTTTTCAATTTATAGCTTACATTGAATAATAATTAATTTTGATTATCGTTTGAATTTTTGTTGCCAAATATTCGATGTTCTGACACTTGAAACCTTTTAATTTCTGCTCCACGTTCACTTCGATATACGAAACTTTTCTCGTTGCGAATCTTCTTCATGCTAATAAATGAAAGAGATGCGATGTTGTTGTCATGCGTTCGGCTTATTATAAAACTCCTTGCAATTTAACCAGTTTTCAGCGTGCACGAAAAGCAAATTGAATTTTTCACGAAAAATCTCCGCCTCAGAGAATACACACTGTGCAATGTTCATTTTCCGCGTAAAACAACGTTCATCAGAATAAATTGTATTTTGCGTAGATTACATAGCTCGCGGTGTTTATACGCAAGTAAATCAACTTTTCTATCTTTTATATTTCATTTTCTGTCTTCGTTTTTTTCCTTCTCTACGTTTATATCTTAATCCAGTTTATTTGAGTTATATTTTTGTTGGTATATGTTCATGCAGTGTACTTATCAAATGGAAAAGTTTTTCGCGTCGAGCGTGAAATGTTCGTTGTTTTACAATGCAAAAACGACTGCAAGATAAACATACATAGATGAGATAGAAAATGATAAATTTCCGTACCACGTGCACGTACCAATTTTCTTTTCTTAAATATTTTCTGTTAGTTACCTTTTAAGGGCGCTGCAAAACATATGCTACACACCTCTCTCACGTCGATGAAATAATGCCATAAATGCAAAACACCATATTCGAAAAGATATGTGTTCGGTGTGTGCGTAAATAAGCGATTGAAAATACTGTGTGTAGCTATAAAAAAAGTGGCGGTTTTTCGCTGCTGTTCCGTGCACCGCACCGGTGAAACTTGTAAATAAGCTGCAGACAAAATAAAAATAAATCGTTGGTTCCCATTTATTAAACCGTAAAGAAGAATGCTAATAAGAAACGGTTCTCAAACTTCTTCGCCCACCGCATTAAATCCCAAACTGCTATATGGGGAAAACAAAACTCTTTCGAGTTAATACATGATAGAATCATTGACAAAATATATCGGTGACAAAGGATTTTATCAGTGTTTTTCCATCAAAAAACACCGACGGTAATTTAACAAGCACAAAGCTACTTTTGAAATGTTTTATCTTATTTTCGTACACATTTTGGGGGGAAATGTACACCGTGTCGTCACACAAGAGTGTAATAAATTCAATAATACTCGCGTCGTTCGTTTGCCTTTTTTGTCTCAGCAAAGAAAACGATGCTTTTTTTGTAAATTGTTCCGTTCAAAATATGTCAATTTAACAAAAGTTTAAAATTGAAATGAGAAACTGTTGAGAACGCCTATAACGATTTCTTACTTTTGTTTGCTTTAATGCAAAAGTCAAATAAATACAGCAAATTATTCATGTCGCATATGAAATGAAAAAAGTTATACAATGTTGACAACAGTTGAGTTGCATTCAAATGAATGAAAATAATTGCTGTGACTGAATTGAAACGGAATAATTCATTCTTCTGCTGTAAAATGCGTCGATCAATTTGCATTTCAGTGGCAAAATTTAATGATGGATCGCTTATAGATGTCAATGTGACATAAAATTAAACGTTTGATTATTGCTATTTCATGATTGTCAGAATAAACTACTTGACCCAATCAATTGCATTGAATCTATCATTTTTCGAAATAATAACAGTCGACAATCGACTCATACAAAATAATTTGAATTCTTACATAACATTGCAACGCTCTGCAAAGCCAAACGAATGTGTCTAATTTCATTGCGAACAATCCCAGTATTCTGTGCCAACTGTCAGTCCCAATTAAGAGGAAAAAAAACGTTAAAAATGATTTCACGTTTGGCGTGCCGAGACAACGGCGGAATCGAAAAATCAACAGAAAAGACCTTGGTTGATTTCGTTTGCATTCAGAAAATGAGAGTGACGTCGCTAACAAATTTAACAACGAAACCGATACATATCATAAGCGAGTGAGCGCGCGCGGGCGCCTTGCCAAACAAAAGTGAAACCAAACTGCTAGAAAATCCGCATTGAATTATCTACGCTACAAAGCTTACGGTTGACTGCTGACCCGTTGCTCATTTTGATCATTTGCGTGGCTGACGCTCTCGCTCACATATCTGTGTACATCTCTCTCTCTCTCTCTCCTTCTCTCTCTATGTCTCTCTCTCGCTCTATGTGTCTCTCTCTCCCTGTGTGTATAAGTATCTGCCACAATTGATAGAGAGTGTGCTAATGGAGACGCGATAATCATGTTTGAGACTATTTTCATCGTTGCGATTGGTGACGCGAGCGTTGCGTCTGTAACATCCATTCTTGTTCTCTCTTTCTCACTTGACATCATTTGATGTGGCCGATCATCATCAGTTTCTATCTATTACAACAAAAATGTTCATTCGTTCGGCATTTTCCTGTACATGTTTCAGTCTTCCTTTTTGTTTATGTTTTGGCTAGGTTCGTTCGAGCCTAAAACACATTCGATTTCATGCGATCCAACGACAGTTGGTCGTGTGCCGCTATTGCATTCGGAACAAAATATTCTCACTCGTACATGCTGCCGTTTCATTTCTCGTATAAACAATTCAACTGTGAAATCGGTTTGCATATTGTTTTATATTGTGAACAAAGAAGAATAACAATAGAAAAATAGTGTGATCATTGCTTTCGGGCAACGATCGAAAGATCTTCGACCGAATCGAAAACGTATTTGTTTTACATTGTGAAAACGCGATCAAATTGTACATTGAAATCAATGCCGATTAATGTGTAGTGTTTGTTTTTAGTTTGTGTCTGAGAATGTGATTTAATTTAATCTGTCTCAATGTATTTATAGTAATATAAAATTGTTTTTGTTTAATTCAAATCGAATGAAAAAGAAACGGGAAGATTTTTTTTGCTTCCATTTGGAATGAATCAACTTCTGAATGAAAAAAAAAAAACATTTTTCAATGAAAAGTCGATGAACTCATCGCAAAATGTTTTATTATCAATAAAATTGCGATATTTATTATTATTGGTAACGAAACGAGCCGATCAGGTCGATATGAAAAATTATTTTCCCCATCGATCGTTAATGGTTTATTGTATTCGGGTAAAAAAATGCGTAAAGTCATTACTTTTTCCAAGATAAATGTCATCGTGTTTTAATTTACATTTCACTTGGCACCTCATCAGATCGTTTCGCATTATTGCTGTCGTTCTCCCTTTTTTTCCCATCGCATCGCCGATATGTGTGATTTATTCTTCGCAGAAAATGAGTGTGTATACGTGGATATGTGTATTTAATGAAAGTAATGGCACAAGACTTGTTAAAAAAGAATGAAATTATTACACGGTTCGTACCGAGAAGAGTGAAAAGAAAAATGTAAACATCAATGCAATGATTCGTAGCGCAGTATTATCATTGAATCGAGTCCCGTTACATCTGCAGTCATCATAACGAACGCGTTTGACAATAATGAGACATTTTAAATGGAAAAGTTATTGCGCGAAATCACGGTGAATTGTGTTTTACGTCATAATGTCATAGTCATCAACACCGACTTGCAGTTTCTTATTTCGACATCTTGTCATATTATTATCATATTCAAAGCACTCTCTCTCTCTTTCTCTCTTCTATTCGTTTGTGCAAACTTCACGCCAGGCAGTTTCGTTCCTTCCGTTTTGCGGTTCGAATCATTTTTTTTTGTTCGGCTCTCACTGTTCCATGTCATTTTTCTTCCCTCATTTAAATGTAATTTTTCATGTTATTTTCTTAAAAGATGAAAAATTCATTCCGGCACAAGAAAACATGAATGCAGAACAGAAAAAAACGTCTGAACGGAATACCAACACGAATATTCGACACCCATCCGTTGAAATGAGCAAAAATGGCATGAAATAATGCAGGAAAAACATAAACATTAAAACACAAGCATAACGTGGTAAAAATAAACATCAGCGGCAGCAATGCACTGCAAAGCGAACGAGTCACACAATTGCACGGGCTCTCCGCTCTCCTTATTATTTAAAACAGTGATGCGCGGATTTTTTTCTCTCGTTTCTCATTGAAGAACATCAAAACCTTTTCAATCAGCTCCATGTGCAACGGCTTATTTCCTCTCGTAACGTAGCATAAATGTATATGTACTGAGTTTTTTTTTCATTTAAAATGAGAAACAGACAAATGAAAACAATCACACACAAAGATGTACGGTGTGGAGTTTTTAAGATTCAACTCGATATATGTGTGTTCAAGTCAGTCGAGATGAAATTTGTTTGATTTAACAAAGTCAGAGCCTAAACTTGTAATTTAACCGTGTTCAAAAATATGATATTATTTTACAAAATTTATTAAACACGAGAAGGGGGAGAATTCCATATTTTAGAATAATAACTGGCTGATTTCGTCTAAAAATACAATTTTTTCCCTTTCCGGAGGCTATTTTAATAACGAAAATATCGAACGATGTGTACTTTTCAGGTAATTTAATTTCGAGCCGTCGTCGCTGTTATGATTTTTTTTCGCTCCCTAACTTTACCAACTGAGTATGTCGCAAAATAGGATGATTCCATTTCAGTGTTGAATGAAACTGTTTTTGCACATTTACGCTAGGAAAACACTTTTACTCTACGGGTTCAGAGCAAATAAAATAATTTTGAGAAATAAATAGATCAATGTTTCGTGAATGAACGAATCTTCATATTTTTTCGGTGGCAATTTTGTGCACGTTTTCCATGCATGACGCGTAGAAGTGTGACAAATATGCATAATGATAACCGGTATACGCACTAAAATTGCCAATGCATAACCGTCGGCACAACGAAACGGAACATTTGCACTGTGTGCTCTTATTTTGAATGCAAAACGGCAACAAAATACACATGATGACATTTTGTTTGTAAATTTAACGTTGAAATTGTATGAAAAACGAGTCATATCGTGCCTCACATCATAAAAAATCATTAATATTTCTTCCTCTGTGATGAATGATGATCACCGCGTTGTATTATATTCTCTTCTTTTTATATGCCGTCTTCATCCTTACGCACATTTCATTACATTGGTGCACAGTGCACACATACTACATACACACATAATTTCAGTCGTTTTTTTTTCGAGTCAACATGTGCTTCACATTCGCCACTTGAACACTGAACTGATTTGTGTTGGCATTTTTTTTCTCTTTCTCGAATGAATTATGGCTTTACATAATCGCGGCGAAATACAGTATATCCATGTTTTCTTGCATTTTCGTTATAAGCTGGTGTAAACTTTAGTTCAATGAACCTGCAATATAATGAGCATGTCACTACATCCCGTACAAATATAATCGATACACATATAAAATGTTTTATCAAAATGAATTTCCGTAGTCAGACTTTAGGTGCTACCATTGATTCGACCATATCGAAAACCAAAAAAACTTGTGCAAATTTTCCGCTTCTAAACACATCAAAGTCTGATAAAAATCGGTTTGAACGAGATCTGTCGCCCGGCTCTTTAAAAGTAATTAATGGATTGAATCGAGCGCTCCATTTCTCGCAACGCACATAAAATCAGAAGCATAAAACGTATTCATAAAGCAGGGCACAAAAGACAAAAAAAAATACATAATCAATTAAAGCGACAAAAATAGATTTCGAGCGCGCAAATCCGATTTCGAACACTTGCATACCGAGCCAACATTTTTCCGTTTGGCATTTATATAGATAAAGATAGAGAAATGTGGTAGTGTTTCGGAAAAATGCGCGCACGATCCCGAAAAAATAAAACTATTTCTTGGTGTTTCCTCTGTTTTGGGCGAGCCAACAATAAATTTTGATGAACGTTGTTCGGTGTTGTCAGCGTTGTAATGATGCTAATTCATATGCCGTCTGTCGCTTGGGCTGCGTACTCAAAAGACCATAAATTTCCACAAACAGCATCACATTTCTGTAGCTATTTTTAAAAGATATGCTATTCTCTTTATTTTCAAGAAAAGAAAGCACAATGACAGTGAAACTAATGAAAACCGATTCCCCCGTCGTGATTTCGCAATAGTCGATATGGCATTTGAAACATTGAAAAGAATCATTTTCGTGATGTAATTTTTGATGATTTATTTACTTCAACATTTTGCGGTATTTCGTTTCCTTTGTTTGTCTTTCGCGCGCGACATTCACAACACAGAAAGAAATGTGGAAAGAAAAAGACGCAAACGTGTCAAACGACCTCATGATAAAGATAAAAACTGAATCGAAATAATTATTTTGTTTGAAGCATTTGCATCGCAATTTCACCGTCAAAACAAAATAAATCGTCAACGTCATGAATAATACTCAACTGATAGAATTTTGCGTTTTAAATGTAAGCGCGCATATCAAGGCGCATATAGCAAAAGCGATGAAACGAATGGAACAACCAAGAAAATCAACAAAAAAAAACACAATTTCAATTCAAGAAGTGTTGTTTGCACTGTCTACACATCAGAATGATGAATGTAACCGCAGCACGCAAAAGTCACATTTCAACCATACATTCCCATTAAATTGCGGTGTCGCTTTTCTTCGAAATTTGTCGTTTTTGATTTGATTCAGTCTCGTTCCACAATTTCTCTTGCTTGACGCAGCTAGTGAAAGCAAAAAAAGGAACTTTTGAGGACTTGATAAATAAAGCACTTGAGCTAATGCTTTTCACTCTTATGAAACAAAACATGAAACAAGAAAGAAAGAAAAAACAAATCTGTAACGTGCTGACAATGTGGATATTATTTGTGGTGCACTAAAGTCATCATTTCAAAAGAACATAAAGGCAGAAAAAAAGAGAACAAACAGCAATGAAACACAACCTAAAATTGGCTACAGCCAGTTCTTATAAATGAATGCGCGGTCGATATACGATTTCATAGCTTGAGAGAAAAAAAAAATTTATCCAACATTTTCCTTTATGCCTTTCCGAAGAAAATTCGGTGAAAATGCAATTAGCATGAATAGAGGAAGTAAATACTGTCTTTGATGTCGATTCGGTCTGATGAACATCTGCGTGCTCATACCTGATTTCAAATACGTCTTTGTGTTACTTTAAATTCAAGTGGCGATTTTAAACGATTCAACTGCAATGAAATAATTCAATACAATAACAACAACGCGTAAAAAAACGTGACGCAAACACGGTACCAGCATCACACAAACACACAAACTTACAGTGAAGTTCATCAACATCAAACGGTGAATATTCATTTTTTGAACGAAACGAGAGAAGAGAAAAAAAGAACATCAAACGGATTAAATGGAGTAGCATTTTGGTTGAGTTTTATGTGTAGCATCATCAAATGAGGTGCAAAAAGTGATTTGCAAACAATTTTTTGGCGAATGACATAATTTTCGTGTGATTTGTTCAAGTGAATTATCGATTCAAGTGTGACATCGAATCATGCTGGGCAAATGCGTCAGCGGACAAGGATCGAACGATGACATTTCGTTCGGATATGAAAACTTGGCACAGGTTCGAATTATTGATACTTATGTAGTTTAAGCATCGTGTAGCTCTAAATAAACTGATTGACAAGTGGATTGCAAATATGAATATTACACGGGAAAATCGAAACAATTCGATGGCAAAAGCAATAATTTTTGAATTAGTAAATAAATTGCCATTTGCGATGAGACAGGGGGCATTGTATGGTGTTATTTTCCCATTTCAAACGGAGAAAACGTACATTTCAGTCGGAAATGCTATTATTATTTTAATAGGACTGTTGTGTATGTTTGCATGAATGTAGAGCCGAGTTAAAATGTGAAAATATCATAAAAACATCGATTATGAAATAATAAAATGCTCAACAGATACGGATACGAGTACAAAAATGAGCAAATTGTTTGTGCATCAGATAAGCATGCCCTATTTGTAGCAAAATTCCATTTCAGCGATATGGAAATTAAACTTGATGAATAATTTGCCTTGTTAGCTCTCTAATGCAACGTGGAAAATTGGAATGTGAAATGACAAGAAAGGTTCGTCGATGTTTGCTGTTTGAACTGTACAACATTTATAAATGGAAGAATTTAGCTCATGAATAACGTTTTAAAATGGTGAAATAATCGACTCTAATCTAATTCGTTTCACTTTTAACACAAAGTGACATGAGATAAATCAATATCGAAGAGTAGAAATGTTCATTCGATAAGATTGAGGGCAATCAATGGCGTTTACATGGAGGAAAATTAAATGGAAATGCAAAAGGATCTAGAATGGATTTCAAAGCAAATGTTTTCTTCAGCAACAACATACAAATCAAGCTCTTTCATCTTTATGCGACACGATTTTTTCAACTGTCTATTTTGTGACGAAAAATAAGTAAAAAAACGAAAAAAACATGCAATCGAATCAATGCTGACAGTTTATTTTAAGACTCAAAAGCAAAAATGACAAAAAAAAAAAACAAAAAAATTGAAATTATTGAAAAAGTATAGATTCAATGGGTGGTATCTGAACGGCAATCGCCTCACGCTGTTGGTCGGGTGTTAGCCATGAAACCAAAGCTGGTCTACGTCCAAAGTACTTTGCGATTTCTTGATTGATAATTCTGTACACTTTATCGTAATTCAGTTCCCTATCTGCAACATTCGTTTAAAGCGTTTTATCATTTTTAAATTGGATTTTCTATTATGAATGTGAGAAACTCACCTACGTATGCTGTCTTGATAAATTCCAAAAAAACTCTCTTCAAGCCTTCTGGTTGGATATTTTTGTATAGATTCTGCCCAAAATTACAAAAATGATATTAATTAAATGCCAATGATAAGTAAAAATCGAACCAAACACCGATGTACATAACAATGTAGTACTAACAATGGGATTTCTTGAGGAAGCCCAATTAATTCGAATACCAAACAATGGAGAGATATCGGAAAGAAATTTCCTCCAATCTCGTTGTGCGTCAAGAACGAATTCTTCGGGGTCGTCTTTTTTATTGGTGGAACCCTCATAATCTAAATTTTAAAAGAAATTTGTTAAACACAAAAATCGTTGAATTTTTTGAAGAAAAAAAAACGACCAAAACCATAGCTAATTTGATTTTTCTTCCATTGTATTATAAAAGATTCTTATTTAAAAAGAAGAATTATTCGCTCACCAATGACAAATCCTTGGTTATTACGAAACATTATATTGTCCGTATGAAGGTCTCCGTGACAAATGCCACGACTGTGTATATATTTTGATATTCTCACCTGTTTTAAGAAAATTAAAATTCGATAACGTGTCTTTCAAATATATTTTTTTTGATAAATAGAAAACTCACCAACTCTCGAAATAAAATCAAAAAATCACCTACAGTCAGTCGAGCTCTCACTCTTCTTTTTGCAAATTCCGAATCAAGTAATGAAATGCCCAAGAGTGTAGAACCATTCCATTTACCGTAGTAATGAAGTTTTGGAACTCCATATGCCTCTATGTTTCTGGATCTGTTGCCATAAGCACCCAGAGTACGGTAGCTCGCAAATTCGGCATCAGCAACTACTTCGTCAGCATCTGGAATGAATTTCATCGCTACGGTTGCATTGGTTTTAATCAATACACCTGTTCGATTGGATTCAAATTTACGTGAGACGCCTTGTCTTGTTATTTAACGGTTTAACTAACCTTTGTACACAACGCCAGACATTCCACTGCCAAGAAATCCATTTACTGATGGTTGGAATACGCTACTGATATTGCCGCCACTTGTGGCAATTCTATCCAAAAGCTCGATGGTTTCCTTGCGGAATTCGCCATGGATCTAGAGAAATACTCAAATTTCTTGATTAATCAACGAGAATTCATAATGGGCCAAGATAAGGACTTACTATTGATGGTAGAAGAGCTAAGCAAAAGCAGAATATACTTTTGAATTTCATTTCACGAGGTTAAAAAATCAACCGAACAATTCAGAGTTTGAAATAAGTTTGAATTCTACATTTTATTTCTAGCCCCATTTATACTCCTTCAAATTATGAATTTTGCTATAGAGTACAAGTATTCACTTGTTTCAAAGATGGAGAAAAAACATGAACTCAGAAATTCAAAACTAACACTGAAAATATCTGAACGTCATTCGATTATTGCCAACACGTAAAAAAAATTGACACGAGTTGAATTTTTTGAAAAGTATTTTGCTTAATATTGCGTTATCAAACAAAAGAATTCTGAAAAATATACAAATGGAATTTTACCAGATAAAACAGATCTTTCTGTTATAGACTTTTAAAAAAAAATTAATTCGTGACTACTGTTTTTCCACGTGTTGTTTTATCTTCTCATATTATAAGTGAAAATTATTGATACGATGCGTAAATGTAAAAGAAATCCAAATACTCTCGTAAGTAGGGAAACAACCAAAGCCATTGAGTGGGTTCGTGGAAAATATATTTACAATACGATTTTCTCTCTGTGGCTCTCTGTCTGTTCCATTGAAAAAATTCCAAAAATATTTGATAAAAACCTTTCACTTTAGTATGAATAATTATAATTATTTTGAATTTTATTAATTCATACAAACAGTGATATCGAAATTAAACTTGATGAATAATTTGCGTTGTTAGTTCTCTAATGCGACATGGAAAATTGGAATGTGAGTTGAGAAGTTTCATCGATGTTTGCTGTCTGAACCGTACAACATTCATAAATGGAAGAATTTAGCTCATGAATAACGTTTTAAAATGAACTGGTGAAATAATCGACTCTAATCTAATTCGTTTCACTTTTAACACAAAGTGACATGAGATAAATCAATATCGAAGAGTAGAAATGTTCATTCGATAAGATTGAGGGCAATCAATGGCGTTTACATGGAGGAAAATTAAATGGAAATGCAAAAGGATCTAGAATGGATTTCAAAGCAAATGTTTTCTTCTCACACTCTGTGTGCGATGCATATACTACTGCAAAAAACAGTAAAATCTGTCAGTGATATTAGCAACAACATACAAATCAAGCTCTTTCATCTTCATGCGACACGATTTTCACAATTTTTTTGAGCTGTCTATCGTCTGTTCCCCGTCAATTTGCAAACGAAAAGAAAATCCTATTTTTTCTAATATGAACGCCCTCCCGCATCATTCAATGTGTATGGTATCACGGTAGCTAATTTTTTCTTTTTTCTCGTTCGAATCGTTGTTTTCTTCCGATTTAACGTTTATTCTTCTATTTTTTTCATTGATTCATTCATTCTGTTTGCGACGGCAATGCAGAAAATGTCGTATTGAGGCAAAATGCGACATGGCGAATGAAAATCTCTCCGACATTAGACGCAACAACATCAATATCAACACGTACACAAAACATCAGCACACATGAATAATCCATAATTCCATAATGTACTTAAATTGGCATTGAATCGCTCTCTTCGCCCCCCACTTTGAATGTATACGTTTTGCGAATGAGCACGATTCGCATTCGACTTCGAGTGACAATAACAACGATGACGAAAAGAACTATGCACAGGGAAGAGAGATCGATATCGAGCGGCCGCATTAAAAATGAACCTAATATATGGTACGAACGAAGCACAAACGATAGACTCAAGTTTGAATTGCCTTGTCTTTTTCTGCAGGCTTTTTTTTTCATCTCAGAAAGCACAGAAATCGTGCCATTTCGCTCTGTTTGACATTGATTACCATGAGCTCGGCTCTGGCATACAAATGAAAAATCAACTGCAAAGCTGCTTCTTCAATGGAGACACTTTTTCTATTTGTCGTCATACAAACACTCCCACACCATGTCATGAATATTTTAAGCTCATGGATTGTGTGCGTCGTCAATACGAGCCACGCATTATTATCGCTGCAACATTTTTAATGTTGCTGGAATGACGAAAAATGAGCTTAGAACCGTATTTTATTAGTTTATATCAACATTATCGCTTTATTATCATAAATATTCACGAATTAGGTGCATTTCCCACTTTAAAGCCACCGCATCAAAAAAAAACGAGCAAAAATACTTTGGCCGATGAAAATGACAGTGAATCAAGCCATTTTGAGTCAATTTCAATAAAGAAAAACCCAACATTTCGGGTCAACGAAATCATGCGAATTGAAGTAAGGGAGAGAAGGGGAAATAGAGTGGATATGAATGCGTAAATTTTTGATGTGTCTCGTTCAAATACCATCCTTTGAAATAATAATAATAAAATACGGTATGCGGAATGTCAGTGTTATTGACCCCCAATTTGAAAATAATAACACAAACATTTTTTATTTTGGCATAATGCACGGTAAAGCTCCTTTTAATATATAAAATATCCATCGCCAACATTCCACGGAAGGTAACGTTGGAGCATTTTCCTTTTTTACTGAAAAAAACGGTAATTTTTGGTTGATATAACAACCGTACTGATCTTAGATGATTGGCAAAGATGCGCATTTTCACCGCACAACACAGCACACAGGCTTTGTTTCTATCGCAAGAGAAAATCCATTTCACAATTTATGATGATAGCATTCCATTTGAGCAGCGCAGAGATTTTGTTTATTTTGTAAATATTGTCTTTATTCTCAGTAAACACACGCACAGTCGTTTCGAGCGTAGACAAAGAACAACAATACTAATAAAAATGATGACAAAAAGACGAGAGCCCGGAGAGAAAATTGAAACCATCAAAATAATGCCCAAATAATAACTGACATGGGCAATTAGAATGGACAATCAGTTTGTTTTCTACTTTTAAATTGTCTTTTTTTGTCGAAATTCGTTTTTAATAAAGATGTAAATGAATCAAGTGCCATTATGAGATACTTCAACATGTCGAAATCCAGCATTCCATTACACGTGTTTATATAAACACTTCGGCAACAAGCGAAGCATTGAAACTAAATGTTCTGTTTCGGAATACATGTCGTTATGAAAAAATGAAAAAAGGGAGAGGGACACGTACAGAAAAAACATCGTGTCACTTGAGTTTTTTTAAATTTATTTTATATAGGCATTTCTTATAGAAAAACCATTTAAATTCTGGGCCAGCAAGTTTGAAATAGAATATATAAGGCGACGTACACGGAAGAATGTTGGGTCGCGACGATCGATACACAACAAAATGTTTGCATACTGTGGGGTGGTTAAATGAAATAATAACGAAACGTTTATTACCATGAACTGAATAGGCAATAATTGGAGCAGCGCGAAATATTTAGTGTTTTGTTCGAATTTTTGAATAGCTTTTAACATTTTTTATCAATGGAAGAAGTGCCATTTTCAATGGAACTTCAAAATTTGAAATAGAGCAGGTCCCTTTTTTCGAACCATTCCCATTTTTTATATTAAAATTTCCAAATTTAGTATCAGAGTGGACGATCGATCTTATTTGGATACAAAAATCTACACTTTCCCCAATATGGTGTAGCATTACAATATTTCAAAAGCTGTAAACTGAAAATAAATGTGATTGCAAGAATGAAGTGATATTAAAGAATTTTTGGGTCACATCATATGGATGGAAAATATATTGGCGGGGATGATGAAATGGATATGAAACGTTTATTACCATAGAAACATGGGTGGTACATGGTATAGGTGTCAATATTGTGCGTACATCGAAATGCCTTGCATCCTCGAGAACATGAATTATTGATATTACTTTTCCAATATTTAGTTTTTCTCTTTTGGTTTTGACAAAGTGCTGACTTTATCATCCACATACTTCTGTCACACTGTACAACACATCACAGTTGTGTCATTGTGCATTACGTTTGCTATTGTTTCTGGAACCGGGAAATGATGAAAATTGATATTTCATCAAAACATCTATATATAGTCTTTTGACAAATCGAAAATTCTCTCACGTTCTTTGAAAGTGATATATTCATGCTGTGCACCCTCAAACAGCATATTTGCAATGGCATCGAAATATCTATGTTTGGCTCCGAAATATGATGATTTCGAACAATGGAAAAGTAAATAAAGTGAATGTTTCATCAGAAGGGTCTTTGTTTGACTGAATTTCGTCTTGTTTATTTATTGGGAGCGTCGTTGTGTTTTTATGTCAGGAAAACAAACAAATATATTCATCAAATACGTTGTACAATTGTTTGCGTTCTTCTATGATTTTTGAGGTCTTTCGAATGTATAAACATCGTTTGTAGTTTCATTCGGTTCCAGTTCCTTGTCGACCATATTTGTATTTTTTGTACGCCTTGAACATGCTTCACTAATCGATACACAATTAATCGTTTTCAATGGTGTTTGGTTTTTACGATGTTCAGCATCGAGTAATTTTGGAGAGTCGGCACCAAAAATAGCCGATGGTCTGATGGTTCATTCACGTAGAATACCCATGAATTTATGTATTATGGCCTATCATAAACACAATCGCTGTTAAAGTTTTATCATCAAAATGCATTTTTGCACATCAACGATAAGTGTTTACGATGATCCTCTCAATTATATGTTTTTCGGTTGACTGGCTTGATGAGCAAGCTGTCAGCCTCAGCTTGTTATGTTTCAATGATGTATTTACAAATCCTTTTTTTTCCAAGCCCAAAACATATGTAATCATTTTTTTTCGAACAACAACAAAGTTGTAAAAACACCAAATGTGAATTTTATATATACAATATTATTTCAGCGTTTGTTATATTACATTGAAGCATTGATTTTTTTTTGTTTCAAACAACTTGTTCAACAAAATTAATTGTTTTTTTTTTCATCATCTGAGGAGATGTGTTGTTGACACAATGTCTAAAAGTGTGGCTGACTACTACTATAAATAGAACGATTTCCGTCTGAAAATACACACACATAAATATATTTAATACATTGTGTAGAGTTGCTGAAATCATTTTATCACTTGACATGTGTAGCATTTCAATTGAACGAAAAGAACTAAAAACCATTTGTTTCTGTCTGTCTTTGTCTATTTTTAGGTGTACACCAACTGGGCCAATCACTATCTCGAAAGAGTTAAGTCAAAAAGACGTGTCACCAACTTGCAATCGGATTGCTGTGATGGTTTATTGTTGGCTGATGTCGTCGAAGGGGTGACATCGGTCAAAGTGTCTGATTTAATTCGAAAACCAAAAACACAGCAGCAAATGGTGAGTACCAAATATTTTTAACACACGCGCACGCACGTAATTTATAAACGCTCAACACATCGATTATTATATAAACTCATTAAAATGGACAGCTTTTGGACGTTAAGTGATTTAATATCTGTCGATGTGCTTTCATCATAATTAATAATGAAAAGGCGACAATTAAATTTAATCGGTGCCGTTGTTAATTAAATTCCGATCTAATCTCGGTTCACGTTAATGTAAAATTGGTTTTGCATGTAAATGAGAATAATAGTAATCGCATTTCCATAATGCCAACGACGGTAAATTCGGTTCGCTTTAACAATATACATATAATAAATCGATAATAATCCAGTCGAACCATTTTGATTTGCAAAGTCGCTGGTTGCTGACCCGAGGCTTAATGCCATCAAATCAAAAATTGAAAAGTTGATGGTGTCGATGCTGTTGCTATGAACTTGACATAAAATGCAGTCTCACACATTTGAATCGCGTGAAATGGCCATTTCTTCAGTGGTCTCCAAGGAGGAAAGAGCAACAGAGATTGAAATCAAGTTTAAGGGAAAATGGCCATTTAATGCACTGTTAAATACATATTATTATCTTCTTTTATAACTATCTCGTATCGTCATCGTACCACTCCTTTGATACACATTTTACGGTGCACTCCAGCAAAAGGGGATCGTCCTCATGATAACGCGAATGTAATATAGATTTTTATGAGTGTATTTTCATTCATAAATACATTGAGATATAATAACATTGTGCCATTGTTATTCTATGGTGGAACCGATTTTCAAATTGATAGAGCTGGATTTTTGGTGTCGTTTATTATAATGACTTCATAACCGTTTGGGATAATATAGAAAATGTTTTACAGTTTAATGGCCATTGCACTTGGGTTGTGATTCATTTTTATGACTTTGCTGTGCTGCAAAACCACAAACACACACACACACACATTCACTTCAAATCCGGTCAGCGCCATTGATGCGCGCCTCGTTCGCTCTCTCTTTCATAAAGCACATTTATGCTCATAAAATGTCGTAAATGGCCAATGCACTGATGACCAAAGTGTCATGTGGGAAATGCATGTTCGATAATAATTTTATAATGTGTGTGTGTGTGCGGTTCAAGCGATTGGAGCTTGCAGTGCGATTGGTTTGACCGGGAGGTTTAATATCTCGCATAATTTAATCGAGTCTCGGGATATAAAGTCGATATAGTGTGAAAATTCAATCTATGAATAAGCCATAAAAATAACATACATGTACATTGTACACTCATGCATCGCAATGGACGAGTGGAATGAGCGTATATGTTTGGGAAACGACAATAACAAACGATGTGAACAACAAAAAACGAGTTCATGGGAAAAGTTAATAAAATCATCTAAAAAATGCAAAACATGTTTGAAACATGATAAATATTGATTAAATCACCTGATTTAAAAAAATCGGCATCCTTGCCCCGTTTATAGAGCCATTTTCATCTATCATCACTGAATTTTCGACTTTGAAACCACACTTGATCCATGTGAACGGAGTCGACGGAGCATTCATTAAAAACGCATACCAATTGGTTCCACCGATATAGATTATATTTAGATTTTATGGATCCATTACATCATTTTTCACTACTGGCTTCATTAACCGAAAATTTGTTGCTGTCGCCCTAAAAGTTGAAGTAAAAAAAACAACGCCGGCTATCGAACGAGACGAGATTGACTGCTTGCACTAAAATCGACGATGAAAAAAGTGTGTACTAATTAAAACTAACATATATATCGAGCTTGTCGAGATAAATTCGACGCGTTAGTCATTCGCACAACAGCTGGTTCTATATGGTTTCGATTTTGTATGCTACTTTAAATAAAACAATGTTGTGCATATTGCACTGAATGAAACTGGTTCATGGCAGTGTTCCTCTCTCTCTTTCTTTCTCTCGCAATATACAAACAAAAAATGTGAATCGAGCACCGGTTTAACGGAAATAACTTGAATGGATTGCACATTTTCAATAGCTGAATCACTGTTGCGACCATGCTCATTCACATTATTAATTTTTTTTCGTTGTTGTTCGTAATTATAATCTGCCATGCCATTCGCATCGATATCGCAATCACCATCGCGCCATCGCTTTGAATTTCCGCTAATGTGCACAGTTTATATTATGATGATGATGATGATGATAACTCGAATTACCGTCGCTAATTTTACAACAAGCCATATAATTAAAGTGTAATTTTCACAAAGCACACATGCACATGCATGGGGAGGTGTGGGTGGTGGCGGTGACAGCCAATGTGATGCTATTTTATTACAGTTGCAAAATGACAGTAATTAATCCACTTAGATTTCACTTTGCAATTTGCACTCCATGTAATCCTATTAAATAATATATAGATCTCTTTGCCAATATCAATTAATGTTGCAGGAAATGATTTGCAACATCAATCAGCAACAGATTATTTCGAAAGAACTGACTAATACGATTGAAAATAGACTTTGAAAAAGAGATAAAAATAAATGAACGTGCGCGTCAGCGCACAACAGACGACAACTTAATAACTTGATTTACAGTGGCATGAATGAACAAATCTCAAACTGATGGTCGCAATGATTCGTGGCAGCGATGTCGAGAGTTCAACTTTTGAAATATTTTTGTCGGGGTGACGGTTAAAAATTAAGACACTCATGATTTTTTACTGTAGCTTCAAATGGATTTCAATTATCCGTGAAAAACAGAAGTTAGACGCATTTCAAGGATGAAGCGTAGTTTCAGAATGTAAGCCATGAGATAATAAGTCAGGAGAGGGAACGTTTACCTCACCCTGATGTTCGGGCATTTTATTTGATTTTCTTGGTTTTTTATTCAAATTCACTCCCGAGAAAATTACCCCCAGAAATTCTGACCGACAATGAATTTTGTAATGATTTTTAGTTCAATTTTCTGCCATATACGAATCAGTGTACTTTTTTAAACTGAAATGAATAAAAACTATGGACCGATTTCGCATAATATAATTACGCTAAACTCTTGCAATTTGTCGTGAGCACGCGTGCATTAATATTTATGGCCGTTCTATTTATGTCATTCCGTCACAACAGTTGTTAATGGCTAGAAAATGATTTCATCGAAAATTGCAATAATTCTCAATTGCTTACCCGACACACTTTGCACCGCCTTGCACAGAGTTTGCTAAAGTAAAATGCGAACGTGAAAAATGTAAATAATTTTCTATACCAAAAACTCTTCCGGTTTGAAATGTTTGAAAAATGTTCATTGACAGTGATTGTGAGTAGAACGGCAGTCAGGCAGTCACACAAACATCTAAGTATTGATGTGTTGAAAAGTGTGTGCAACGACCCAGTTCAGCACAATAACTAAAACACTTTTCGATTTCCCAACAAAAGCGTATAAAATAGGAAATTAAGTAATAAATACAAAGCAACTGTGTAACTTTACTATAAGGCAGTAAAACGTCGCACATTTTTCTACGATAGAGTAAACCGACACAGAAATAGAATTCCGTTAATATTGTATTTCTTTTTCTTTTTTTGTTTATTTCAGTCGATACTGGTTGTGTCGAATTTTAATTATATTTGTGTGTGTGCTTCTACTTTCTATATACCTTCTCCTCCATATTCCCAGTAGCATGTCGTCTCATTCATTTGATTTATCGCGATTTGAATTGTTTCTTTAAATGTAATTTTGTTGTGTGAATAATATACAGAGTATAAGCACGTGCAGTCGATTTTCTAAAATGACTTTGTTCCGTTGTCGTTGTTCATTTTCTTTGCGAATAAAACGTCATACACACAATTGGTGCGGTTTGAAATCGAACAAAAGCAACGACCGAATCAGCTGTTTGGCTTTTGTCATTCGCACAACCAAGATTGCTATCGAAATAAAGTAATTCGTTTTAAATACAAAAGCATAAAAAACCCGATTTTGTGTAGCAGATTGGCCAAAGAACCGCAACGATTTCGCCCGTTTAATGGGCGAAAAGTGAATTGAGGTAGTAAAATATATCGAGCAATCGAACGAGCGAGCGAATAAACAGAACATAAAATCGAACGAGAGAGAGTCAAACTCAGTCATGTGTTAAAATCGGGTGTTCAATGAATAAGAGCACTTTTTTTGACTGGCATTGTTGTTGTTTTTTAACATCGATATCTTACGCGATCATCATGTTTACACCAAAATGTTATTAATTGTATTTAGTACAACGTCATCTTGCCGCACCTCGAAATGATTTATTACTGTTCACCACATTTTTAGCAAACAAAAAGTCATTTTAATTAAAACAATGGCAATTTTTCACGAAAAAAATTTCACTTTTCGGGTCTTGGATTTAGAGCACAAAAACTTTATCTCGCCGCATTGCTCACAATGCAATAAATTATTTAATCTAACGTTCAATTTTCTATCATCGTTTTACTCAATCGATATTTGTGTTTTGAAGCAACAAATTGTTTGTTTCTTCTCATTCAGATTGGCCCTTCAGTTCAATGTGTTGACGCAATAATTTACTAATTTCACTCATTGAATGTTATCTGCCACAAAAACACAAATATTTGGGTCACAACAACTATTAGAACTGCATCGCATGTATATGTACTGTGCATGTATATGAAAAACGGCACTCTCCCAAGGCATTCCGCTGAGACGCTACTGTGTACATAAACACTGAACGCACAAAGATTAAAGTTAATTAAATTGCATTTTGAGCATGTTTTTCGTCGAAGTCAAGAGTTTAGTATAGCCATCGTGCCACTAAACTCTTGACTTAGACGATGATTCCATTGATTTTCATGGGTTCCGAGTAAGTTTGCTCAATAGAACTTAAGCCGAATATGCTACTTTTGCGTTTCGCCGCGGTTGAGAATAAACAATTCACGACGATAAAAATCGTTACATAATAATATTCTCGAGTGTGTTGAATCCATATGCGCCATACACAAACTTATATATAGACAACCGCAATTTTATTTCGACAATAGACTTATAGATGT